GGGAAACAAACCTACCTCGCTTTTGACCACCCTCGCTTCCAAGAGATACCAGACAATGCCAAATCGCGGCCTGCACTGGTCAGACCGCTCGACGAGGAGGCGCGTGGTGTGGCTTGGTTTTGCCTGGAAGCGAAAGCGGGGGAGGTGATTCACGCTCTGAGTGCCCCCCTACAGGCGGATGCCGGACGACAAATAAAGCATACCCCAAGCTGTCGACAAGTAACCAGCACGTGTCAAACATCGCCCACAGACTATTTTTTGATAACTATGTTTGTATATCTGGAGGCCTCCTAGATGGGGTCCGAGTAGATCGGGTCGGAGGATCGCGCCACATCGCCGATGCAACGACGATGCACGCTCTGACTGCAGGCAGGCCTGCAGGTCTCGAGGGCTCCCTTCGGGCGCTCTGCAAGGCCAGGGGCCGTCGCTCGCTCTGCGGGGGGCCGCCGCGCGGGAGGCCGCGGGCCGGCCGCCGCGGCCGAGCGCGAAGTGGGGCCTGTCCCTCTGCAGGAGGAATGGTTAAACATGTTAAATAAAAATAGTAAAAATAATAATAATAAATAAAGAAATAAATAAATAATAATAATAATAATACATCGCCGGCGCATCGGCGATGCATCGCCGATGCGTCGCCGATGCATCGTCGTTGCATCGGCGATGTGGCGCGATCCTCCGACCCCATCTACTCGGACCCCATCTAGGAGGCCTCCAAATATACAAGCATAGTTATCAACAAAAATAGTCTGTGGACGATGTTTGACAAGTGCTGGCTACTTGTCGACATCTTGGGGTATGTCTTATTTTCCGTCCGGCATCCGCCTGTAGGTAGGGAGCCCACGAAGGACGTACGCGCCCAGCTATGTACATGAACACGGCCCCTCGATCTGCGACACTGGCCGCGGTATACGAACACTTGCTCAACGCGTGCTCTCGAAACCAGCGTGGATTCATGTACGTGTACGTCCTGCTTTCGCTCCTGAGTAGGGGGGCACGCCCGACCTGTAGGTCGAGCGCGCGGCCTCCCGCCGGTCACGGCCAGGAGAGTCATGGCGCGCCGCGCCGCCGGGGTCCGTGCCGCCAGGCCGCGGCGCGACACGCCATCCACATTCCCCCCTCCCGTTCGGCGGCGACCTGCTCGGCGGGCGTGGGGGGGCTGATCTGGGGTCTGGCGCCTCTCGTCGGCGGCGAGCGAGTGGGGGGGAAGCTTCGGGCTCGAGGCTCGAGGTTCTCGGGCGTTTTCGTCGGTCCGCGGCGGTTTTCCAGCCTCGGGGTGCTTGCCAGCGGCTGCGCCTCGCCGAGCGCGCTCTTGAGGGTGCCTGGATCGTCCCGAACGGCCGCCAGAGACCCGAGCTACGACCCAAGAACCACACGGCCGCGGAGATCCAAGCATTCCCCGAAGACGCAAAACAAACTCCTCAGAAGGCGCGAGGGCTTTAGAAGCCCCCCCCCTTCTGAGAAGGCCCGCCCCTTCTCACTTCCCCCCCTCGCTCGCCGCCGATGCTTCCCCAGCGACCAGGGTCCGAGCTTTCTCGAGCCCCCCCACACCGCGGAGCGGAACGGCACGCCATCCACTCGCAAGGCATCACTGGTGCATCGCCGGGGCCGCCGTGGCGACACGAATCAACAAGTTCCCGGCCGTAGCGGAGGGAGGGTTCTCAGATGGGGGGGTGGGGCGGCGCGGGGGCGAGGAGAGGCGCGAAGAGAAGCGCGCGTGGCGGGTCGGAAGGCCTCGGGCCTTGCGAGAAGCTTCTTGAGCCTTCCCCGAAGACGCGGAGCACTTCTCGGGAAGGTCAGGGGGCTTCTGAGGAGGCTCCGCCGCCTTCCGCGAGAGGGCCTGCTCCTTCTCGCTCCCCCCCCCCCGCGAGCTGGCGACTCCAGCGCCGCGAGTCAGACCTGGACAGCCGGCTGCTCCGGTCTTTCCGCTGCGTGGGCCCCCGAAAATTGTACCCCTTTCCGCCCTGCCGGCCCTGCCAAAATCGAGGGTACAGGATGCTCCTCCAGGATGCTCCTCCAGGATGCTCCTCCATGGTCCTCGCCGAGGAAACAAATGCACACGTCCGAGCGATGCCCAGCACTCTCCTCCTGCAGAAGGACATGCCCGACTTCCTGCAAGCCGCCGCCGGCCCGCGGGCCGCCCCCCCCCCCCCCCCCCCAAAGGTCGACCCTGCCAACTCGAGGGTACCCATGCGTTATCTGAGGTTCGCGGCCAATGCCTTCTGACATTCCTGTGACCACGTGGCCCTCGGAAGGGTCTCCCATGAACCCAGGCTGTAGGGCCGGTTTTTCGCCCCGAGTCGTTTGGTTGACGCTCCCGAGGGCCCGCGAGGGCCGACAGAGGCCGAAAACCGCCCGTTCCAACTGTTGTTGGGGAGCGTCGGATTTCTGTCGGGGGTGGACAGACCTCCTAACAGTGACACGTCGATTAGTGAATTGTCCGTTTTCGGTTCTCGAGAGGGCGCCGCGGCCGTCATTTTCCAGGCTTGCGCCCGCCAGGTTTGCGCCCGAGGTCGTTTTCACTAAACCACGTTTTACTAAAGGGAGGTCTGTCCATCCCCGATTCTGGGCCCTTCTCCCTGCCCCCCCGGGCGCGCCACCGACTCCAGCCCCGCGAGTCAGAGGCTGACCTCGCCGGACGGGGCGACGGGACGAGGATACATCCGTTCCAGGGCGTTCCGGAGCGCTCCATGGAGCGTTCTCTGGAGCCCCCTCGGAGGGCGGCGGCGCCCCAGACATCCTCCACAGCCGCCAGACCTCAGCGATTCTCGAGTCGTCCTCGCCCGATCGTGTCCCAGGCCTGGCTTCGACCCCTCTCCCCGCCCCCTCCGAGCGCCGTGCGCCGCTCTCCGCCCCGCTCCCGCCCTCGCTCGCAGCCGCTCTGGCTCGGAGGAGCCCCGCTGTCGTCTGGCGAATTCTGCTGCCCCGGGGCTCGGGCTGCACGGTGTGCCTCTGCCCCGATGCGCCCGTCTCGAAGCGCAGCGCAGACCTTAGGTCGGGCCTGTCCTTCTACAGGGGGAATATCCACAAATAATTTAAAAAGATAGTCGGGGGACGATTTCTGGTCGTCTATGTTCAACCATTTGGTTTTTTTGTCGAGAAGGTTTAAACTTTCGCACAACATCCGCCTGTAGGGGGACATGCCCGACCTAGCACAGACCGTGTGCAAAGCGCCCGTGTCAAGACGACGCTGCGTGATGGCTCGGCGTATTTGCCCACTTGTTGGCGAACGCATCGCGTCATACCTACGGTTTGAGTCTACGCGTCGAGCTCCGTATCAGCACGCTACGTGTTGCGTTTTGCGTGTTGCGTGGTGGCTCGAACTGCACGGTGTTTTCGGGAGCCTCGAGGCGGGGGTCAGTGCAAACGGGGGTCAGCCAGAGCGCCGGATCTTTCAGGATCTTGCAGAGCCAGGTGTGCATTGTTCTGGGCTTGCGTGCAGGATCCCACAGGGTCCTGCAGGATCATACAGGATCCTGAAACCCTGATTGGCCTGGGCTTGGATTGATACGGGTCTTTAGATCCCCGACTTCTGTCTGGGGCTCGAATTGCTCGGTATTCCTCTAGGCCTCCGAGATGAGGTCGGTCGGAGGAGGAACAGGTACCCATACCGCTAACTGTTTTCCGTTTTCCCTTTTCTCGGCCTCTTGGGAGGCCTTCGTCGTCACCGCTGGATTCGCTTGGAAATCCTGGTCAGAACGCACCCCAGGGGGGGTCCGGGTTTTGGTTTCCCCAGTCGTCGTGGTAGATGAGGTCGAAGGGTCGCGCCACATCGCCGATGCATCGGCGATGCTGCTCGACGTGGAGCCCGTTTCTCTCTACGCTGTCGGCGCCGATTCACCGTCGGCGTCACCAATGCATCGGCGGTGCGGCGCGATCCTGCGACCCCATCTATTCGGACCCCATCTAGGAGGCGATGTATTTGGGCGATGTGGATCTTATTGACCCTGGAAACGACAGGGTAGCCGCTTTTGTTTTCAGGTTTTGTTGCCAGTTCTGGCGCCATTTGTTCCTGGCATCGTCGCCGTTTTTGTTGCTGGCTCTTGTTCTGGATTCAATCCCAGCGCCGTCGTTTTGACGTTTCCTGTCGCCGTTTCGTGTCCGTCCTTTTTTCCGAGGGACACGTGTTCGGGAGCGGCGAAGAAACGGCCTTGCCGTTTCCGCGGCCAAATCAGGTCGTGGACACTTTTCGGTTCCACTCTGCCTTGCAGCACGAGCGGAGCGAAGACAGAGCGAGGGACAACCTGGGCCACCCCCAGGGGGCGTGGAGCTCGTCGCGCTTCGCGCACCGCGGCACGGGTCGGAGAGGTGCCCTCCTCCCGGGCGGCGGCGCGAGGGAGCGAAGATGCCGCGCTTCGCGCACCGCAGTGCGCGATGCGCGCAGTTCGGTGACCCAAATCACGAAAAAGACGAAACGAGAACGGAAGTCGGCGAGGGGAGGCAGGAAGAGGGGAGAGGAGGAGGGAGGAGGGAGGGAGGCGTGCACTGCGGGCGACGCAGGGGAGCGACGCGGCAGGGAAGAGAACCGGCACCCCAGCCAAACATGTGGGTCAGGGCGCCAGAGACGGGGGCAAAGCAAACGGGGGTACGGGGAACGCCGATCTCCACGCTTTGCCATGCCCCCGTTTAGGGGGCCCGGGGCGCCATAGACGGGGGCACAGTACACGGGGGTATACGGAAAAGCCGAGGCCGCCGTTTGGCTAAGCCCCCGTTTGCGAGGCCCCGAGTGGGGAGCAAAACTAGGGGGACAAAAAGTGGCATAAACATAACAACTCGGAGGTCCGCGCGGATTTCTCGGATCGGCGCTGGACCTCCCTCCCTGGCGCGCGGAGCGCGCCAGGGGCGGCGCCGGGGGCGCCGCCGGGGGGCCCTAGCGCCTATCCGAGAAATCCGCGCGGACTTCCGAGTTGTTATGTTTATGCCACTTTTTGTTCCCCTAAAAACGAGAGCGGAGGCCACCGTTTGGGTCGAGCCTCTGCCCTTGGTTGGCCCTTGGTTGGCCGCACATGGCGTCGCCGCGCGCCGCCCTGGCGCTGCTGCTCGCCGCCGCGCTGAGCGGCCTCGCGGGCAGGCCGCCGCCCGCCCAGGGGGAGGGGGCGGAGGAGGAGGAGGAGGAGGAGGAGGAGGAGGAGGAGGAGAGGAGGAGGAGGAGAGTAAGAGGAGGCGGAGGAGGAGGAGGAGGAGGAGGAGGAGGAGGAGGAGGAGGGGAGGAGGAGGGGGAGGAGGAGGAGGAGGAGGAGGAGGAGAAGGAGGAGGAGGAGGAGGAGGAGGAGGAGGAGGAGGAGGAGGAGGAGGAGGAGGAGGAGGAGGAGGAGGAGTGGAGGAGGAGGAGGAGGAGGAGGAGGAGGAGGAGGAGGAGGAGGAGGAGGAGGAGGAGGAGGAGGAGGAGAGGAGGAGGAGGAGGAGGAGGAGGAGGAGGAGGAGGAGGAGGAGGAGGAGGAGGAGGAGGAGGAGGAGGAGGAGGAGGAGGAGGAGGAGGAGGAGGAGGAGGAGGAGGAGGAGGAGGAGGAGGAGGAGAGGCCTCCCAGGTGGGCTCCGAGCAGGTGGGGACCGGAGGAGCGCGCCGTATCGCCGATGCGTCGGCGATGCGGCTCGATATTCAGGCGATTGCAAACATGGATTAAGTGGGCGTGGATTAGCGACGGGTCCCGTTTCCATGGGAAATCGCGGATTTGCGCCGCCGAGCGAGGCGGCACCGGCCGCATTTTGAGGAGAGACCTCCCCAGATCCATGGATTTTGCGACCGCGCGCCAGATCCATGAATCGCTAATCCATGTTTGCGCGCCCCCGAGATATGGAGTCCGATTTTCTGCACGCCCACGGCGCCGATGCATCGCCAACGTCGCCGACTCGTCGACGATGATGCAGCGGTGGCGCATCGGCGATGCGGCGCGATCCTGCGACCTGATCTGCTCGGACCCTGCTTGGAAGACCTCCACTGGCGTCCTCCGTTGCTCGAGGGCAGGAGTCGAGGTTCATGAAGTCATACGCCCCCTTCACCCTCTCTGACTGTTGTCCTCCTCTCTGGGAGGGGGGGGGGAGGAACGCGGTGGTGGGGGCGCGAAGATGAGATCGTCCTTCGAGAGGCGCCTCCTGGGTCGCGGGGGTCCCCTCTTCCAGGGCGGCGGCGCGAGCGCGCGAAGACAGCCGCGCGCCGCGCAGCGCGGGGCGCGGCGCGCAGAGCCGGGCGACCCAGCTGGCTCGAGGCACGGGCGGCGGTGCATCGCGCGGGCGGGGGGGGGGAGGCCAGGGGCGTCGAGTCGGACGAATGGGGGGGGGGACGGGGCAATGGTCAGAGCGTGAAATACCTACCCCGCTTTCGCTTCCAGGCAAAACCAAGTCATACCACGCGCCTCCTCGTCAAGCGGCCTGACCAGTACAGGCTGCAATTTGGCATCGTTTGGTATCTCTTGGAAGCGAGGGTGGTCAAAAGCGAGGTAGGTTTGTTTCCCCCCTAAATGGGGGGGTTGGCGAAGTCTGCCGCACGCGGCCGGTCTCGGCTCCGCCGCCGGGCGGCCTCCCTGGGCGCCTCGGCGCCCGTGGCGCCCGCAGGCGCCAGAGAAACCGGCGGCGTGCAGCTGATCCGGCGGACGCCAACGGGGAGGCAAGAAGCGTGAGGCTTGGCATCCTTCGGACGTGTGCATATTTCCCTCGGCGAGGACCATCGAGGAGCATCCTTGATGATTTGGCGAAAAAGCCACGCACGAAACCGAACAAAAACACAGGGAATGGACGTCCGAGCGATGCCCAGGAGGGGATCGAGGACGACGGGACGGCGGGAGCCCTCCACGGCCCCTCAGTTGCCACCGCGGGCCCAGAAGCCGCAGGAAAGGGGCGCGCGTTGTTCTCCGGCGTCCGTGCAGACTGCCCCCGCGCCAGCGAGCCAACCGAGCCGATGCGCTCACCCTCCCTTTTGCTACCCCCCCTCTTCTCAGGGGGAGAACAAAGGCACACAGACACAAGTCATCGTCGATTCCCCAGAAAGTATGGGAGGATCGGGGAGATGGGGGGGAAGACAAAAACCCAGAAGAGATGGGAGCATAGGGGGAAGCCTTCTATGTGTGTGTACTCGTCCGTGTGTCACCCAGGGCCCCTCCGTCTTCGTTCGCCCCGGATCGGGGGGGGGAGCGGGAGAAGGCTGTGCTCCGCGGGGCGGGGAGGGCAGCGGGCTGGGTCGCGCCAGCGCGTCGGCGCGGTGCGCGTGGTGGGGAGGGGGGGCGATCCTGGAGCGAGCCTGCCGGGCCGGGCGGCACGGGCCGGGTGGCGTGGCGACCCTTCAAAAGCCCTGCAGCCGTGCGCACCTTGTTAAGTCGGGCGTGTCCCTCTACAGGGGGAAAATCCAGAACTAATCCAAGAATAGTCTGGGGACGATTTTTTGACTATTTTTTCATTTGGGGGGCATTTTTTAAGAAATTCATTCTTCGCCCAAAGTCCCCCCTGTAGGGGGACACGCCCGACTTAAGCCTTGTGCCTTCTCGACCATACGAAAGAGTGACCCTTCGCCAGAGTGACTTTTGGTGCGGGCTCATCGGGGCCCCCCCCGATCGCCGAGCGCGATGCGATGTCGGCTGCTTGCGCGCTTGGATTTGGCCACCCCGCGCCCCCGGAGCGCGCGCTCCAAAAGGCCGCTCTCGCGTGCAGCCGACCTTCCTGCGCGGTTTCGCCCGAGCGGGGCCTGCCCGGAGGGCCTGCCGGAGTGCGCACGGGTGCCCCTGCCCCCTCCGACCCCCTCCCTCCCTGAACTGCTCGGGGGAGCGTAAGACCCGGGTTTGCCGGGACTCGGGTTCGCCATCGTTTTTTGACGACCGCGACTCGGATTTTGACGAGGAGGAGTTTCGTGGGATGTCTGCAGCGGGAGGCCTCGTCAAAATGCAGGCTCGGCCTCGTCATTTTTTTGACGACCTCGTCGGGGATTTCCGAGTCCCCCGTACCCGGGTCTTACGTCTCCCCGATCCGACCCCCTCCCTCCCTGAACTGCGGCTGGCGCTGCTGACGACGACGATGGCGCCGACGGCGCCGGCGACGACGAGCGGCGCCGACGAGCTGCGCCGACGGCGCCGACGCCGCGCCGACGACGAGCTGCGCCGAAGGCGCCGACGCGGCGGCGACGCCGCCGACGCCGCGCCGACGACGCCGCGCCGGCGACGAGCGGCGCCGACCTGCGAGGGCCGCGGCTGCTCGGGTGAGCCCGGGCCTCGAGGGCGGCGAGGTCGAGGAGGCGCAGGCGAACGCCACCCTGCAGGCCGTCGCGTCGTCGTCGTTGTCGTCGTCGTCGTCGTCGTCTTAGTCGGCGGCGGCGGCGTCGGCGTCGGCGGCGGCGGCGGCGGAGTCGTCATCGTCGGCGTTCTCTTCCGCCTCCGTCTCCTCCTCCTCCTCATCATCATCATCATCCTCATCCTCATCCTCCTCCTCATCCTCATCCTCGCCATCATCATCATCATTGTCATCATCATCCTCCTCCTCCTCCTCATCATCATCATCATCACCATCACCATCATCAGCATCAGCATTATCATCATCATTATCATCATCATCAGCAGCAGCAGCAGCCTCATCATCATCATCATCATCATCATCATCATCATCATCACCATCACCATCACCATCACCATCACCATAACCACCATCATCATCATCATCATCATCAACAGCATCATCATCATCATCAACAGCATCATCATCATCAGCAACAGCATCACCACCACCATCATCATCGGTATGTTAAACATCAGCATCGTCATCATGGTCACCATCATCATCAGCAGCGTCGTCATCAGTATCATCATCATAGTCATCATCGTCATTAGCATCATCATCATCATCCTCATCCTGAAGTCATCCTCGTCATCGTCGTTATCATCATCGTCATCATCATCATCATCATGATCAGCACCATCATCATAATCATCATCATCCAAATCTTAATCGATATCACCATCATCATCGTCATCATCATCATCATCCTAATCAGCATCAGCATCAGCATCGGCATCAACATCATCACCTTCACCATCTCCATAATCTTATCCTCTCTTCCTCCTCCTCCTCCTCCTCCTCCTCCTCCTCCTCTCCTCCCTTCTACAGTTTCACATTCTGAATACCACTCTCCTTCCTCCCCTCACGACCCCGAGGTCGTAACATGCCCCCCTTCGCGTTTTGTGTTGGTGGCATTTAGGATCCCCCAAAGGTGGTCGGTCGTATGTTTTTCTTTCCCATCCGAACGTTTTCGGTGTTTCCAGAATGGCGCTCCCGCTGCAGCGTTGGCTTCATTTTCTGGCTCCCAGTCCTTCCAAATCATACTCCCGCTGCAGAGCTGACCTCATTTCTTTGTTGTGGATCTTCCAAATCGTGCACCCGCTACAGCGTTGGCTCTCATTCAACGTTTCCGCTCTTCCCGAACCGTCCATTTCCTTTTTCGCGTTGCGTCATGGTTGGTTTCTCTCAGATATTGTTTTCTCAATAAGTCGTGTTCTCGACCAGTGCCATGCTTTGCGCCGCAATGCGTCACTACACAATGCCACGCCATGCTATGACATGTTACACTCTGCTGTTCTACGCCGCGCTACTCCGTGCACCACCATGTATCTCATGCCCTCTCGGGATCATTGCCCTGCTCGGCATCCGACTGTGCGAATAGAAAGGAAATCCACGCCATGGTAAGGGATGGGAGAGAGGGATAGGACATCAGATAAGACGCTTGCGCACCTAGCTTGCCTCCTTCCTTCTCTCCTCCCCGCCCCCTTACCCCTGTCCTCTCCCCCTCTTCCCTCCATCTCTCCTCCCTCTCGTCCTCATCCTCCCCTCCTCTACTCCCTCCTAATTACCTCCCTCCTCCCTCCTAAGGCGACCCCAGCGGTGGACGCCGAGGCCCTGTTGGAGGATCCCGCCGGGCGTTGGACACGGGGCGCCCCTCCAGAGCAGCCAATTGGGGGCAGCTGGGGTCGGTACCGGCGAGGCGTTCCCAGACGTCCAACTTCCCGAAAAAGTCAACGCTTATTTATGGCGTGCCGTTTTGGAGGGGCCGTTTTTCGGGCCGGAGGTCGTTGTCGGGCCCCGGGGCCGTCAACAGATACGATTCGAGTTGAGAAGCGGGCCCCGGGGAACGGGTCGGGAGACCCGGGGACCTCGCACTGAAGAGATCAAGAAGTTGCTTGGCATGGCGGAGTCCCCAGTCCCTCGGTGCGGGAGCTGGCAGTTTTCATCATCAGCGCATTGGCTGTCGTGGGTGATGCCGCAGAGATCCAGAAGTCGGACGTCTGGAATCTCCCACCCATCGGCCTCGCCACCTCTGCCCAGAGTTATGTTGCTCCCATCGCACTGAAGGACCACGTCCCAGAAATATTGTCGAGCACCCGGAAAAGAGTCGAAACAGTGCCGAAACAGTGTCGGACGAGTGTCTCCCAGGGCCCGGCACGTGAAAACCCCCGAGTTTCGGTTTTTTTTTGGTGCTCGAAAATCCTTCTGGCGGTCCGGGCTACAGTAGGTTGGAACACCATAAGCCGAGAGGTTGTCGATGCGGTGGGAGGGGCTCCAGAGCTCCAGGCTCCGCACGCCCCCGGTCGGAGCAGGCGTGGGGCCGGAGGTTGGGAACCCCCAAACCAGGTGGTGAGATATCAGGTGGTGACCTGGAATCCCCAAAAAGTCACCCCCGGGTTTTGGGACACGGGCTCACCGCCGGGTCTTGTGACTCCTGGGCCCACCAGCGTCCGGGACATCCTCGAACAAGCGCATGAGTCCCCAAACCGGGCGGTGACACCAAATCGCCCGAGACTCACCGCCAGGTGTTGTCACCACCACGTTTCGGGGGAGCGTAAGACCCGGGTTTGCCGGGACTCGGGTTCGCCATCGTTTTTTGACGACCGCGACTCGGATTTTGACGAGGAGGAGTTTCGTGGGATGTCTGCAGCGGGAGGCCTCGTCAAAATGCAGGCTCGGCCTCGTCATTTTTTTGACGACCTCGTCGGGGATTTCCGAGTCCCCCGTACCCGTGTCTTACGTCTCCCCGAACGTTTGGGGATTACCAACGGAGGGCGCGCCGCCTCGGCGACGCATCGGCGATGCGGCCAGGCGAGGAGCCCGGTCCTCGGCGCGCCGACGGCGCCGATATATCCATCGCCGGCGTCGCCGGTGCAGCGCGGATGCCTCGGCGAAGCTTTTGGCGGTGTGGCGCGGTGCTCCGACCCCACGGGATCCATACGCCCTGGCCAAACAGGACCCCAAACTCAAGAAGTCGCTCTCGCACGAGACTCTCTCCAAATTCGAAGGGTTTTTTTTTTTTTGCAATCCTTCGGTTTTTTTTTTTTGCAATCCTTCGGTTTTTTTTTGCAATCCTGGGTTTTTTGTTGCAATCCTTCGTTTTTTTTTTTGCAATCCTTCGGGTTTTTTTTGCAATCCTTCGGTTTTTTTTGCAATCCTTCGGTTTTTTTTGCAATCCGACGCTTCAACCCACCAGCCCATCGAGAAACGATGCCCCGGCGAGTTGCCCAAATGAGGGATGTGGATGAGCATGCAGCGGAATAGAGGGCTGAGGAAGCCGCCGTACCCCAAGAGGGGGAGGATGGAGGAGGAATCGGGAGAGGATAAAGGGGGCAGGGGGAGGAGATAGGAGGGAGGAGGAGGAGCATGCGGCGGAGGAGGAGGAGGAGGAGGTCGTGCAGAAAGTCCAGAGGCCTCTTTGGATGTCTCTCGGAGTCTCTTCTGGGGCGTCTTAGGGGGCTGCTATTGCGCTCCCGCGGGCCTCGTGGAGCGGAGCGCCGTGGGTGCCTCGGGAGAGCCTGGGCTCGTGGGGTCTCCTGGGATCTTGGGGATCTCTTGGGTGTTGGGTGGAGCCTCTTGGGGATCTCTTGGGCCTCTTTGGTGGAGCCTCTTGGGGATCTCTTGGGTGGAGCCTCCTGTGGCCTCCTGGGCGCCTCTCTTGGGGCCGTCTGGGAGCACCCCTTGGGAGCCTCGGGGGCTATCCTGGAGGAGATCCACCGAAGAGAGGGGGGGGCCGTCCATCGGAGTGCCCCCCCCCGGGAGGCCATGGGCCCCACACACCTTTTTGGGAATCTGCGTGATTTGTGCCTTCTCGACGAGGCCTTCTTGGACGCTCGAATTGGTCGCGGGGCGCCCCCCGTCCATGTCCAGGGGGGCGGGAGGAGGAGGAGGGTTGACCCCTCCCCGAAGGGGAAGAAGGGGGTTGAAAGGGGAAACCCGGTAGACCATTCACGCCCTAAAGAGCTGGTGGGGTTTAGTGAATTCGGCGAAGATCCAACTACGACGACAACAGCTTCTGCTCGATTCGTCTTCGCAATTTACCCCCGCTCGCCCTGGCTGGATGCTTTGTCACACTCAGGGAAGGCGTTGTATGTTCAGTGTTTCTCCCAGGAGTTGGTATTGAAATAAGCCCCTCTTCCACACGGGGGTAATTCATGGACTGAGAGGGCGGGTGCAAGCGAAGGAAGACACAATTGAAGGTCTAAGCAGCTTGTTAACACAGATGTTCGCAGTATGGTCGATGTCGATGTCCTTGTCGTTGTTGTCGTCGTCGCTTCTGACAACTTCGTACGCTGACCTCGCTTTCACGTTGCCCGTTTCGCTGGGCCTGCCCGGTCCGCAGCGGCGGGTTGGTTAGCAGATCGCTCCGTCTGCTCGCCCCCCCCCTATCAGTCCACCCGCGAGGAGGGCGGGGCGCTCCTGGACCGCCTGACCCCCGTCAGCAACGAGCCCACCGCGTACAGGGGCTACGTCAAGGAGATCTCGCAGGCCATCGTCAACCACGACGAGGCCCGCAGGAGTCAAATCTGCACACCACCCCGAGGTGGGCTCGCGGAGGCCTCGTGCTGGTGGTGCGTTATTGCAGTGGCCTTCTGATGCTCGTGGGATAGGGGGAGTGCGGGAGAGAAATCAGAATTCTGGGGAATCTTCGGGAATCCTTCGGGAATCTTTGCGAATCGTAAGTGTCCTGGGGGGATCTTGGGGGATCCTCGGGAATCCTTGGGAATCCTGGGAGGTCCGGGGGAGTCCTGATGTTGGCTCGTTGGTGGGTGGTTGGGCGTTGGGCGGGTCGCAGCGTGAATGCGTAGCAGCGGATAAGGGTGACGAGGGTGCCCTCTGGGAAGGGGGCGGGGTCGCTCCCCCCTGTCGACGGGGGACCGGCCCAGGGGAGTGGGGGGGCTCCGCCCCTGTGGACGGGGAGCCGCGGACGCCAGGGAAGGGACCTTCCCCTTGAGGACAGGGGGAGCCAGGGGAGCCCGAGGGGGGGGGGAGCGGGGAGCTCTGTCCCCACGGTTATGGGATGGAGCCAGGCGCTTGCCTTCAAGATCGGCAAGTCAAGAACAAATGGGTCCCCCGGGGGGAGGCGGAAACCAGGGGGAACCTGACCCCCAACCCCCTTCCATGCAGAGCCACCCAGGCACCCGGCCCAGTAGAGCTGAAGGTCCCCCAGAGGGGGGGGGGCCGGAAACTGGGGGAAACCCGACCCCCCCTACCCCCCCCTTTTCGAGGTGGGCTCGCGGAGGCCTCGTGCCAGTGGTGTGTTATTTGCCTTTTTGCCCGCGAGGGTGCTCTCGCTGTCGCAGACTACGACGGGTCGGACAACAAGGTTCGCGACGGAACCATCCTCTTCAACATGGTCGGCACCTGCCCGTCCGGTTGGCTGTGCGGCGACCAGGCGGTGACCGTCTCGGACTTCGGAGGCAACGTGATGGCCTACTGGAGCAAGCCGCACCCGGAGATCAAGCAGTGCACGCGGGACCGTCACGTCAAGAAAGGCAAATGCAAGAACGATTCGGGCCAGTTCGGCGCCATGGAGAAGCTCTTCAGGGGAGGGGGCGACTACTATGTCGACTCGGCCACGAAGCGCGCGGTGGTCAATAAGGACGGGGCACTGATGTATGTCTACCTGGTCTACGCGACTACATGGAGCACCTGGTCTGGCACCATGGACGGGTGGTTGCTGTTCCAGAAGGACCCGAATGCTAAGGAGTTCTTCCGCATCCAGTTCCAGTCCGGCAAGGACGCAAAGTTCAATTTCAGGGGCGGGCCCAGGAAGCTGAGCAGCTTCTGGCCCGCGAAGTGGGAGATGGACCTCCCGTGACGAGAGCCGCCCCCTGCGCCGTTTGTTAGAAGGGTACTCCAGATTTCGTAATAAAAGGGAGGGGGTCTCAACCCTCCCAGACCACAAGTTGTAGACCCCCCCAGACCATCCATGAAAGGGCGGCACTTTGCCCAGACCCCCCCTAACCCTCCAAGACAGCTCAAATCAGACCCCCCCGCCAAATGTACCCCCTCCTACTTTAGTATGGAATCCGGAGTAGATGTCCAGATCGATTTGCTCATACGCTGGCAGGCCTCCAGCGAATATACCACAAGTCACCAGGCGTCCGGAGGTCAAAAAATGTGCCACAATCAGATCCCGTACGCGCTCCGCGTGTCCCCGGCCGCCGCATCGCTTTCGTGCTGCTGGAGGGCCTCTGGCTGAGTCGATGCGAAGGCCGCGTAGGAGACGTGCTGGAGTCAGCCAGGCTTCTCGAAACATCTAGCTCGAGCAGACCCGACAGCTCGCCGTTAGGAGAGGCGGGGAGGAGCAAGATCAAGCGGAGGTGAGGGGGACGAGCCGGATGAAACAGGGGAGGAAGACGATGACGAAGAAGGGGAGGATAAAGATGTGCAGAAGGAGGATGAGGAGGAGGAGGAGGAGGAAAAAGAGGAGGAGGATGAGGATCACGGGGAGGAGAAGGAGGAGGAGAAGGGGGCATGGGGAGGAGCATCAGCATGGAGACTTGCGCTGAAACAGCGAGGGGTGCGCCTGTTCCGACCGTGATGACATAAACAACAAGTTTCGGAGGTCCACACGGATTTCTCGATCAGCGCTGGAAGCCCCTGGCGGCGCCTCCGGCGCCGCCCGCGCCGCCCCTGGCGCGCTCGGAAGAAGGTCCGAGCAGATGTCAGAAATCCGCGCGACCCTCCGAAAGTTTACGTTTGTGCAGTTTGTCGTTCCTCCGTTGCTGCAACTTCTCCTCTGGCTTGAGCGGTGTCCCGTCGAGGCGCGCGAAGGCCTTTTTATGACTGCCCCCGGACATGTCTTGCCGCAGCGGCGAGGCGCGAAGTAAGGGGCAGTCCACCATAATTCCCGCCTCCTCTTGTCGCCAGTTTGGGTTGGGGTTCTCCTGATGTTTTCGATCGAAGAAGGAACATTGGACACACATAAAAAGGTTGGAGCTCCGCGCCGATCTCTTGGATCGGCGCTGGGCCCCCCCTTGGCGGCGGCTCCGGCGCCGCGCCGCCCCTGGCTTCCTCCGCGTGCTAGGCAGGGCGGCCCAGCGCGGATCCAAGAAACCCGCCCGACCTCAGAGAAGTTCTGACTATGCAGTCGTCTGGAGGCCATGAATCAAAGCAGAGGTAGGGGAACCAGGATCAGCGCCCTGTAAGCCTTGAACAGCGCTTCTCGAGTTCCTCTTGGGACGCTCTTGGCGGTCGTCGGGGAACTCCTGGAGCCCTCCTGGGCCCCTCTTGGGGCTTTCTTTGGCGATATCGGTGCCACCTTGAGGCTTCAGAGGCGTATCGGAATCGAAAGGGCGAGAAGTTCAAACAGGCTTGTAAGCTTCAGGGATTGAGTGAGCTCGGTATCTGGTGGCATCATTTAAAGATTCCGAGACCCCGTGGAGTCGAGTTGAAAGTACATCGTGGCATCTTCAATGCATGTTGAACAGCATGCTAGTCCACCTTGAGCTATCTTGCGCCATTTCGGAGGTCATCTTGGAGCACCTGGGGCCATCGTGGATCAGAAATATCCCTCTGACACAGCGCGCCCCCCCTGCCCGATCGAGGGGAGGGGGCAGTGGGGGGGGCCTTCCCCGAAGGTGAAGCACGGGTTTGGAGGGTATGACCCTTAGACCACCCACGCCCAGAGTGCTGGTGGGACATCACAAGACGTCTAGATATACACATTCTGCTAGACGACCGCAGGGGCGAACGATCGCGTAATCGTGAGCTGAGCTATGCTCACGGCCGCTGCCGCACAGACATACATCCAATGGCCAGCACAGCTGCATTAACGCAAACATTCGGATATCCGCGCGGAGTTCATAATCTAACGTCGGACCCCCCATCGGTGACGCCTTTCTCGCCATCCCTGGCTGGCGCCGCGCGCCATGGCGACGTTGAGTCCAGCGCCGAGCCAGGAAGTCTGCGCCGCGGGCTCCCGAAAGCGTATGGTGTGCAGCGTGCTGTGCCTCTACTGTTCTACTGTTCGTCCTTCCCCCAGTCTCCCCTGGCCTCGCTCAACACGAGTACCCTCTTCGCGCGCTCTCCCATCTCTCTCCTCCCCGCTCGTTGCACTCGTCCTCGTCTCCTCTTGCTCCCCCTCCTTCGCACCTCTCCTCCACCCTGCCCCCCCATATTACCCCTTCTCCCCCCCTCCCTCCCTCCCTCCCTCCCTCCGTCCTTCTCCCTCTCCCCTTCCCCCTCCTTCCTCGACTGGGCGATCTCCCCTCTCTTGGTCCCTGTGACTTCCGCCTGCACCTCTCGGCGCCTCCCCCTCCCCTCCCCCAGTCCCCGCCCTCCTTCCCCTCTGCCCCTTTCCCTCGGAAGATGGCCCGAGGAGCATCAGAGGTGAAGTGGCCCGCAGCGGTCTCTGTCATCCCCCCCCTGCCTGTCTGCCGCCTGGTTCTCGTCCCTTTCCCTGCTGCTCCTGCTCCTGCTCGTTCTTCCTCCTCCTCTTCCTCCTTCTCCTCCTCCTCCTCCTCCACCTTCACACTTCTCTTGCTGCGCGCCCCCTGGCTGCCCCCCTCCTCGGCCCTTCCCCCCCGTCCTCACTCCTCCCTCCCCTCGGTCGTCCTCCGTGCATCTTCCTCCGCGACCGTCACACTCAGCAGTATCCCTTCTCATCCTTACTTGCTCGCCCTTCCTCCTCCGTGTCCTCCTCCACCTCGGCTTTTCTCCCTCATTTCTCTTCATACTCCTCATTCGGCCCATCTCTTCACCCTCTTCCGTCCTCATCCTTGATCCGCATCCTCTTCATCCCTCGCCCTCGTTCTCTTGCTGCTCCATTTTCATCTCAACCGCTCGGCCTCATTATCTCCCTCCTCATCCTCCTCCTCCTCCTCCTCCTCCTCCTCCCTGGCGTCCTGGTGCTGCTGCTCCTCCTCCTCCTCCTCCTCCTCCTCCTCCTCGTCCTCCTCCTCTTCCTCCCTGCCCTCGTTGGCCATCACCTTTTTCATAACATCACAGGGTGGGGCTCGTGTGCCCTCTGCGCACACCCAGCGCAGTAACCTCACCCATCGTTTCTCGCGTCTATCTACACTCATCAGCATCAGCATCAGCATTGACATCATCAGCATCACCATCGTCATCGTCAGTATCATCATCATCAACATCGTCATCAGCAGCATCATCATCAGCATCATCGTCATCCTCATCATCATCGTCATCATCATCATCATCATCAGCAGCAACATCATCATCAGCAGCAGCAGCACCATCGTCGTCGTCATCATCGTAATCAGCATCGTCCTACTCATCATACTCCCCAGTAGCATCATCAGCAGCATCAGTTGCAACAACAGCAGCATCAGCATCATAATCAGGATTATCATTCTTGTTATGATAAGCATCATCACCATCATCATCCTCATCATCATCATCATCATCATCATCATCATCATCACCATCATCGGCATCATCATCATCATCATCAGCATTATCAGCATCGTTACCACCACTGCCATCGATAACAACATCTTTATCATCATCAGCTTCATCACCATCACACACACTCGCGCACTCATTCGCTCACCCACTCACACTCACACACTCGTATCGAAAAAGTCCCTCGTCTGTCAGTGAATCGCGATGAGGTCCCGTGCGTGGGGGGGCCCTCCCTATGGGGCCCGCACTCGATGTTGACAATCCCAGGCGGTCATCTGCATACTGTAGCAGGCATCGCACTTGAGCACCCCTACTGGACGAACCGTGAGGACGTCTCGAGCGGGGGCCTCGTCTGTGAGTGAAAAGCCAGGAAGTCTCCAGCGGGAGCCCCCCCTCCTTTTGGGCCCCCCGCTTTCTCTCAGCAGTCCCAGGCGGTCATCGTCAGATTGGTGGAGACGTGGCATTCGAGAACCCTAAGGGGGCACATCGTGAGGATGTTTCGAGCGCGGGGTTCACCGCGAGCGAGAGGCGAGGACGCCTCGAGCAGGAGCCCTCTCCCTCTGGGACCTGTCCATGCGTGGGTTGCGAGGAAGTCTGAAGCGGTAGCCAGCTCCACAGGGGGCCCCCTCACGTTAGTAGTCCGAGGCGGCCGTCCCTCCTCCTCCTCCCTCCTCCCTCCTCCTCCTGCCCCTCCTCCTCCGCCTCCGCCTCCTCCTCCACCTCCTCCGCCTCCTCCTCTCCCTGTGGGCCCCAAGGTGGCCAATCATGAGACTATTCCGAGCGTGGGCCTCGTTTGTGAGCGAGCAGAAAGGAAGTCTCGAGCGGGATCTCCTCCCGGATAGGCCCACCCGCTTCCTGGCCGTCATTCCATGCGGTCCTCGGCACACCGCAGCAGGCACAGCAGCGGGGCACCCCGAGGGGACACGTCATGAGGATGTCTCGAGCGGGGACCTCGTCGATGAGTGAATTGCGAGGAAGTGTCAAGCAGAACCCCCTTCAAGGGGGTCATGCAAATTAACCCCAAAAATGTTTCAAACAGTTGCGCTAAGCAGTGCTCCGGAGCCAGACCCCCCCCCCTCCCCCCCTTTCGCTTAATTTCGAAACACCGAATAAACAAAACGATCACTATTGCCTATGAGGTCCCCGTTTTATGTTAGTAGTCCCAGGCGGTTATCGGCGCAATTGTAGCATGCATAGCAGTTGGGCACGCCAAGAGGGCAAATCGTGTGGCCGTCTCGAGCGGGGGCCTCGTGGGTGAGTGAAAGACGAGGAGGTATCGGCTGGGACCTCCCCCCGATGGCCACTCCGACTCACGTTGGTAATCCCAAGCGGTCGCCAGCGCACTGTAGCAAGCATATCAGTTGGTCGCCCCAAAGGGGCAAATCGTGAGGATAAATGAAGCGGGGGCTTCGTCTGTGAGGCAAAAGCGAGGAAGTCTCGAGCGGGGAC